GGGTGGTCAAAACTGCCCAACACATCATCGGCAGTGCCTTACCATCCATCCAGGAAATATACAACACCAGGGGTCCGAAAAAAGCCACCAAAATTATGTCTGACCCCACTCACCCCAGTCATAACTTGTTTGTTCCCCTACCATCTGGCAGAAGGTTCCGGTCACTCCAGTCGCACACAACTAGACGCCAAAATAGCTTCTTCCCCAGAGCTGTCGAGTTGGTGACGCCCCCACTCCCTCCCACCATATTATGATCTCTCCTAACGTCATCCTGTACCCACAATGACTGTACTCCTACACCACTACACACACATGTAAGCCAAAATTGTACTGTCCCCTCGATAGCCCAGTAAAACTGTACCGGTCATAATATTTAATATTTATTAATTAACCATACTATTTTTACACTGTTCCAAGAATTACCTTGCACAGTTTTTGTCCTGTTATATTTTCTCTGTTTGCGGAATTTTGCACAGTTTTGATTACTTGATTACATGTTACAGTATTTACGTTATGTTATTACATGTTACTGTTATTGCTATTGTGTTACTGTCTATTGTCTTATCTTCTGTCCTATTTATATACTGCACCCGAGTGACTAACAAAAAACACTTTTCATTATGCTATGCACCTGTGTAAGTTTAATGACAATAACGTTTAATTGAACTAAAATTCAGATCTTAATGCATCATTTAGTTTCACTCTTGGTTTCAAAATATTAATTTTCTGTAATTTTTTCTTTCAGTTTCACATTGGTTCTATTCTGTATTTTTAACACTGCACCCATAAACACAAATTGTGTTTTTAGTGCTTTTGCAACTGTTACGACCCCAAGTGTCTAGGGGTAAAGGGGTGTAAGATTTAGGATAATTTTTGGATGCGGGTGAGTTCTGGTGAAGGACTAGGAAGCGTTACAAGTAGTGTTGGTGCAAAAGTGATTATTTTAAGGTGAATAAGTGACTGGTACATAATAGGACACAATAACACACAGTGAGAAGGAACTAGAGTGGTGCCAAAGAAAAGAAAACAACAAACAGAATGGAGATGGCTAAGAAAGTGAGGGAAAGCTAACCTGACTATAAAAGAAAACCCGAAACACAGTCTTTGACGTCTTCAAACACCCTAGCTAACCTTCACTGACTACCCAAAACCATACAAGACAAACGGCACTCACCCATACTAAACTAGTGTTACTAATACAAAAATCAATTACGTGTGTAGAATGTACCCAACAACCTAAACTAACCCTTAACACAAAAGTTCACACAAATACACAAGTGAACTAACAATACAAATAAGGGAAAACGAGAGTAGACACAAGTAACAGGGTACAAAAGAACACAGAGGTTGAACATATAACACGTTAGGGCAAGGTAATGGCAAAATAAACGATAAATACAAACAAACAAAGTAAAAAGAGACAAACACAAATCAACAAAACAACAAAGCCGAAGCTATATGAAAACACACACACATAAAGCGAGACAAAGCCGAAGCAAAACCAAAAGCGGAGTGGAGCCATGTGGGACCAAAGTCAAACAAAAGGCCCCTTCATTCAGAAAACCTCCAACTTATATACTAAATAAGCTGCACTCTGATTGGTGGAGATGCTGATTGACGATGATGTCACACAGAAACAATGATCTGTAATGATGGACCAATAGGGGAGGGAGAACAATCAAGATCAGGAAGTGTGGAACATAGCAGTAAAACACACATGGACTACACACTGGGACGTACAGTAACAGCAACTATCAAAATTACTTGGGTGTATCAAATTCAGTCATGAATGTTGAATTGATCAATTAATCAAAAGACCACCAAAAAGGTCACGCATGTATGGGCCTTCTAATTAAATTTTTCAGTGACTAGTTTTCAACATGATCTCTTCTCTGTATTGCAGAATTTACCTTTATACTGATGAGTTAAAAATAAGAAGTAATCATAAAAATAAAGCTGGTTTACACAAACATTGTGGATGCACAATCCAAAGCACTGTAATCTCTGTCAGTTTACAGCCATTATGCCATATAGTACAAACTACTGCTGTTACATAGTCAGTCATGAAACTGTGGGCATGAAATAAATAATGCAAACAGAATGATTGGGTGTATAGCAAAAAGTATGGAATGTTAATACCTGGGAAGTTAAGGTCAAGATTTAGAACACACTAGTGTGTCCTAATTAAGAATATTGTGCTTATTTTTGGTAAGCATTTCACAGCCATTGAAAGAGTTCAATGAACATCTACTAGTCTCGGGGAATTAACATATACAGGCAGGTTAAGGACACTAAATCCTTTTGGTTTTTAATAAAGGAGATTGAGAGCAGGTTTGATTCAATTATATGATATCTGAAGATGTATAAATACATAGTCAAATAAAAGATATATAGAGAGTTATACGGGGGACTATTTCACACACAGAAGTGAAAGAAAGACATGGGATCACATAAGGAAACCAAAAAGCTTTTTGGAGAGTGGTGGGTATTTGGAACAGACGTACTGTAGCAGCCAGGTTATTGAGACTAAAACTGGGCCCTTCTATGAAATGGAGGCATAATGTTATTTTAGGTTCATTTAGCTACTAAACTACCAAAACAGAAAGATGGGCCAATTGACTCCTCTTGCTTGCAATCTTTATGACGTTTACAGCTGCTGAATTTATATCTAGATGCTGTCTCCTAGCCAGCAGCCATATCACTCTGCAACTCACAACTGGTACTCACTTAAACTAAGCAGATGAGAGCCTGTTCAGAACCTGGAGGGGAGATCTCCTGGGAAAAACTAAGGTTGCTGCTAGAAGAGGTGTTAGTGGGGCTAGCAGGGGGTGCTCACCCTGCGGTCCATGGGGGTCCTCATGCGCTAGTATAGTGATGGGGGCACTATACTGTAAACAGCTGCCATCCTGACTCACTATGGTCATTACAAATCCCAAATTTCACATTGGCTCTGACTAATTGTGGCCTCCTAATAATCCCCATCTATAAACGGGCTTGATTAATCTGCTCTCCTTCCCACTGATAGCTGATGTGAGGTGAGTGTTCTGGCACTCCAGGTGGATGCTGCACTTTGGTGGTGGTAGAGGGCAGTCCCCATTACCTGTAAAGTGCTTTGAGTGGAGTGTCCAGAAAAGAGCTATATAACTGTAAGCAATTATTATTATTATTACTTTATTTTTCTAAAGCATATATAGAATTAAAAGTTTCTTTTGGGGCTCAGTATATTTTATATCACTTAAACTCTCTTAAGTCTTTCATTTTTTATTGCTGAGTCCCTCTTTTACAAACTCTTTCAATGTATTTAAAGCCTTTACAGAGCAAAAAATATTTAGTAAGTATTTTTGATAGTAAATGACATAAAATGAAGAGAAAACATTGTGACTGATAATGAAGGACACAACTAAAGGACAGAGCAAGCCTGAACGATTCAGTATAATTGCAGCTCAGATGGGTACAGCCCTTCTTACCTGTGTCTGACTCACATACGAAGAATCAGGAGATGAAGAACATAGGTTGTCTTTCAGGGACCAATAGCAACCTGCTGCAATGCAGACAGCACACCTATATGAAAAAAAAAACAGGAAACTAGTGTCAGGCAGTCTTTCCACACAGTTCAGTTGAAAGATATTGCATACAGTAGCAGCTCTTCAAATGAATTAAAGCAGAAATGCCATTATGTACTAGTGTTTAAAGATCCAAGAGACAATGCAAGAGACAGCATGTTGGTTTGAATTGAATGTCACCACGAACAGAGCAGTTCAATGGAAACAGTAATGGCTCACCTATTAGGTGTGGTGGATGTTCTTCCAATCTCAGAACACTTTTTCAGAGTCCAGTTTTCAACGATATTCACTGAATTTATACGAATGCTTACTTTTACATTGAGACCTTTAAAATGAGAAAAATAAGAGTTTACACTTAACACAAGCTCTGCCAATTACTCCATTTGTCTGTATAGTGCACACAATTGCTGCTCTATGAAAGACAAATGTAATGTTTAACAACCCATTCCATGCCTCACTACCAATCAGTATTGTCCCTATTTCTCAAAAACTTCCCCTTTGCTGCTTCCTGATTTCTAAGCTGCTGTAACATTGCCTTGCTGCTCAGTTGTGCTCTTGAGTAGGATATGAAGCACATCACTCACCTTCCGGAACCAGTCTGTTTTTTGGGAAACTGCAGGAACACCCAAGGAAGACTGGATTTAAGCTGGAATTTTCACAAAGGCTCACATTGTCACCATACATGAAGACACAAGCAAAAGAGGTATTTTGTAAGAAGGCGACATTCAGATGAACCATCACATCCAGTGTAATACCCTGATAAGAAATATACATACAGTATTGACCAAATCTGAATAAAAAACCTTTCATTTTAAGCAAAAAAACAATGCCAAAATATTTTGCTTATTGCCTCTTTGTTTGCCAGTGTGTAGTCATTCAACTGGTAGGAGATCATTTGCTTTAAATTCTCAAAAGGCTCCTCTGGTATGGTGATCCAGGCTGAGTTTGAACACTCGTCATGGAATGTGCATCTAAAATGATCAAAAAAAGAAGAAAGGTGAGAGCTCCTAAATAATATGTTTCTAAGCTAGTGTCACAAAGCGATACATTGAAGGTTCTGTCAATTGCAAAGATTATTTGATTTGTTATTTTAGATTACATTTTATATTAATATTACAGTCTGTTTTGTCGAAACAAGTACTTTCAACCCTTTATTGCAAGCCTGTGTATAAAATAAAATATTTTTCATCATCTGAACTGTTTCAGAAAGGCTGTTCATAAATCTGGTAATCTTTAGAGTCTCTTTAAATCAATAATCAAATTAAACTTGCTCTGCACAAAATACAGAATTACACTTTACTGTATGGAAAGTGCCTAGTTTTCTTTATTGTGTTGTGCTTTCAAGCTTGTATTTACCTGTGATCGCTTATGTCTTATATTATTTTATCATCTTTTAAAAATGTTTTAGAAATGTTTTTAGAATTACATTTTGCATTAAGGGGCATTTTAAAAAAAACAGAAATGTAATTTTCAAGAAAGATAAAAAGGACAAAAAACAAATGCGTTCTTTAAGCTGACTTCATACCAGAAGAATTCTTTGAAGTGCTGTATGAAGTATACAGTAATACACGGTATATTGGTATAAAACCTTAAAGTTCCCACGCGTTAAAAGCAAAGTTGTACATGACACTTCCTGCCCCATGATAACCTTGTGAGCAATCCTGTGCCTCAAGGCTTTTTGATGCTGTGGGCATCAAAAACAGCTTTACAGCTTGCAGAGAAGGGATTCATAAAAGAGCTTATTTCCCCAATGTCTGTACTGAGGAAAGAAATGTAGAATTCAGACATAATCCACACTTGAAAGACAAACCACCTCGTGCAACTCTGCAACTTCATTTAGCTGAATAGAGCCCCTGAAAAATGTATGACATTGTTGAATAACTGGATATTGAATTTTTATTCCGTGCTAAGGTTGACATATTTTCATGTCAAGTGTGTCCTTTTTCCTAACACCACATTGAAGACTATTCATGCCAAAGTTCGAGGTATAAAAAGCATTCGTATTTGCCTGTGCTACAAAGCTACTGTAAGCCTTGATAAAACAAACTTTCTCACTGCTTTGCTCTCTAAGCGCCTGAATAATAAAATTTATTTCCAACCTACACTGAGCTGCTCTGTGACTTCTTGCATCCCTACAGGAAGAAACTTAAATAACGAAGACATCAAATTCGTAAAAACTAAAAATACATTGAAATACAAACCTGCTCTCAGAAGCACACCACCCACAGTATGGGTCCTGTCCAGCCCAGCAGGTCCTTAGAGCATCAAACCTGCTGCAGTTTGCAACTCTTATTCTTGAGAGCTGCAACATAGACCCAGGAGGGTACAGTTATCAGCCGTGTCCAAAAAAAAAACATACTGTAAATTAAGTTCTTGAACAAAATATGAAAAACTAAAAATTACCTGTTTTTCCAAAGCAATATAAACTTTTTTTTTATCCACTGGATCCAAGATCATTTTAGAAAATACTGCATTATCACCAGGAAATTGATATAAGATATCTGGGCAACCAGAATTTAAGTTCTTGTCCAATACAATCTGAAATACAGAGAAGAATTTGTTATCCTACCACTTAACAGTTTCTATTTTTTTAATAGACACCCAGTTCACTATTTCTGTAAAATACAACTCTGCAGTTTATGAATAGGTCACCATTCACTACTTTAAGAAGGCAATATATATTTTTTTAATTTTCAGTTGTATAGTACGGTACATCATACAGTCCTTTATATTGAAATAACTTGGTATTCAATATACAGGGCAGTTACAGTCTTACAATCATCTTCAAGAAAGATATAATTTTTTACCCAATTTACATTTGATTCACAGAGTACATTAATGATTATGAACATATGCACTAGACCTGAAAAAACAGCCTTCACTTGTATCATTGTCCAGTATGGATTCAACCCTAATCAGGGGTGTAACCCCGGCGTCCTGGCCAAATTTCCCATTGGCCCTTACCAATCATGGCCTCCTAATAATCCCCCTCTATGAATTGGCTACATTAATCTGCTCTCCTCCCCACTGATATCTGATGTGTGGTGAGCGTTCTGGCGCACTATGGCTGCCGTCACATCATCCAGGTAGATGCTGCACATTGGTGGTGGTGGAGGGGAGTCCCCATTACCTATAAGTGGAGTGTCCAGAAAAGCACTATATAAGTGTAAGCAATTATTATTATTATTATTATTATTATTATTATTATTATTATTATTATTATTATAATCAGGAATTGAATCTAGACAGGTTATGATCTTATGGCTCATAAAACCATTCACATGTTAGAAATTCACAGGATATACAGAATCAGCTGTAGAAGTAATGTAAATCTAATTGGAGGAATTGTTATGGATGTTTTGCTTCCCAGAGATTATTTCAAGATTCTATTCCCATCCTATATAACAGAGAGTGTAGGAAGAGAAACACATCTAATACATTATGTAAACTTTTGCAGTTAGAAGGTAGGTGCTAAAATATTCATCACGGTATTTATCTTCTTATCTCTTAGAGGTTTGACCAACAATATGCTAAAGAATTTCCACATGCTACCATGTCTAATGACAGCAAATTTAATTCACTCATCAAACACCATCTTTTGCTTAGCAAATGTACCATCCTGTAGGCATCGCTGCAACAGTTAGGTTTGGAGGATATAACATATTTAAAGCTATAATTCTTTGTCTGATGTATCACAACTGTTATATCAGAAACATTTTTATCACAGTATACAGCAGCAGAAAACAGACTTTCCACAGGATAGAATTATAGACAGATATTTTATGCAGTGTTTATAAACACACCTGCAAAGATCGTAAACCTCAATTTTTTTCTGTGACTTTTTTTTGTAAAATTGATTGCATAATGTCACTCTTTCCACAAACCTTGAGTAACTGCCCATCTCCTGTCCCAATGAACAGCACAATCCAGCTGTTCACAGTGGCAGTAGCAACAGATGTCATATTGGGATGGAGAAAAGCCGTTTTAAGTTCTTTTATATGATGACTTTGCACAGTTTTCTGCAGGAAGAGAATTTACAGTAAGATTGGTTATCTGGTATTCCTCCATTTATCTAAGCATATCCACAGCTTCAACTGGCTGCAAAACATTAAATTACATTTTTTTACTAAGCTCGGATTTTAAACAAAAAGACATTCATTAGACACTCTCTTGAATTAAGTTAGTTTTAACTAAGTGTATGAATGAGAAGCAATACAGAGTATATCTGTTTATAGTGAGCATCAAATCAAACTGATTTATTTTTGGACTTCTAAGTGCCGACTGCTCCTACTCATACTGTAAAGTTTAACAGAAAATGGCTATTTTTTGTATTAGATGCACTGATATTTTATTATATTTAAACCATTATGCTGATTTACAAGGTTGATCAACAGGGTGTTTATGGTTAAAATCATAGGCTAGTATCCCGTATGGCCACCAATAGAAGCAATACATGTGTATTATACAGCTCCAACAATGCGTTGTGCCAGGTTGCAGATGCTGATCTTGTGGGACTGTATCTCAGTCATCTCCAGTGTCCTTTCTCTGGTCTCCAAGGTCTAGATGCCACATGCCACCCCAGCCCATCCCACACGTCTTCAAAGGGGCTCATACTGGCAAGTAGAGCACCCATGACATTAACAGTCTCATTCTCATCTCACAAGACGAAAGCTGTTGTTACACAAAGGAGAGCGAGGATGTGCACTCTCATTGTGGAAACATGTCACAAAGGGATTAGTCCACAGGGAGGGCAGCAGGTAACATCCCAGGACTGGAATGAATGAAGCACCATCTAATCTGGTTTCCATCAATCACAACACGCAGCATGGGAGCTGAACTCGGTGTGAGAGACTGTACTGAAGGTTTTCCTTAGCTTTGAAAAATGAACTACTTTCTCTTGCTTAGGCACTGATAATGCAATATGATGGGCGATACTCTTTGTAAAAAGTGTTTTACAACTGAATTTAACTGTGTAAAATCATACATTCTTCATGCACAGTTCCCAAAGATGTTTATCTCATTAATTTCTAGGAAACATTTGTTTTTGTCACGTTTTAGAACCTACAGTATGATTGCTTAATGTTTAATGTTTACGGTATTGCATTAGATTCAAGTTATAAAGTTCCTCCCTTCGTTCTTTAAGCTCTAAGACTGGAACTGAATCATTTCCTGTGTTGACTCCCTTGACTTGGGTCTCAAATTGCCTTGCTGAACCATACTTGCAATATGCTGTGGAGACTAGGAAAGAGTATGTTCTCCCTGTCTGCTACAGCTAGTACAAAATAAAACAGAAACATCTAAGTAAATGATGGACATCAAGTATTTTGAAAGCAAGATCTTCCACTCAGATGTGGGTCTTGTATGAATTAAGCACATAACATCCAAGTATGTTTAGGGTAGGGTAACAAATACAAGTTCTGTACATGCCTGAATGGCTATCATTATGGCTAACACAACTGCATGAGGAGACCTCAAGAGCAACAGCATCTAAGGTGATGTTAACATGGAACTCCAAGGGAAAGACATCATCAGCAACTAGATATCTGTGGGCTGAAGAGCATACTTCAGGATAGTGATATCCATCCAATTCAAAGTGCAAAGCCAACCACCAAGAACTCTACAGACTGGGACACCACGGTCTAGTTGCGGTGCACATACAGCTTATCACGCCTGACGTGCAGGTTTGTGAGTCCAGTGTTGCAAAGAGCACAGGCAATGGACAACCAAGCAATGGAAAAGTGTGAGATAGTCAGATGTGCATCACATCTGGCACCACAAGCACCACATTGGTGGTGGTGGAGGGGAGACCCCATTACCTGTAAAGCGCTTTGAGTGG